TCATAATAATATTCAATTATTAATATGACTTTAATTATTTATTTCTTAATAAAATCAAAAATAAATAAACTAAAAAACAAAGAATAATTTATTTAATATATATTACAAGTTATAATAATCAACTTTAAACAAGAAATATAATATGATAATATTTTTTTTTACAAGGAATATCTTATAATAGCCACTAAAATTATTACAACTATTAAATGATTATTAAAATTGAGTTTGTATATTATAGATAATACTATTTAAAGAAGAATTGTCTTACAAGTATGAATTTTAAAGCCAGGGATATCAAAACCGAAGATGTCATGATATGATTTAATTTGAGAGGATTAATAACCGTGTTAGGATAAGGGATACTGTTATCAAATAGCAGTTGATTTTGTTTCTTGTTAGAATTAGCATTTTCAGTATACTGTGAGACATATGAAAAAGGTTGAAATTGAATTAAAGCATTAGAACCAGCCATAGATTTTATCAGAAATTGAACTCTTGGATTTTCAAATTACCATTATAATTGTTCGTGTAATTAATATATTTATGTAATTAATATATTGAAATTATATAAATTTTTTGGGATCAGGTAGAAAGAATTTTTTCATTAGGAATGTCGTTAAGTACATTAGAAAAATAACAGAAAAAAGTTCTTTCAAATTAAACTATTTATTTTATTAATTAAATCTATTTTTATGAAATAAGTAAAGATTTATGTCATAATGATATACATATGTGTTAAAGTTTTATAGATATCCGATCAGATTTTAGTTAGAATAATACATTGAATTTTTTTTTAGCTGTAACTTATGATATCTCATTAATTTAATTTGATTATTGCATTAAAAAATATTTTTTCTATTAATCATGTGGAGATTGAATCGATATCAGTCACAAGTCTTGTGAAATGTCAATCTTTTTAAAATTTTACCAAAAATTTTATTCAATCTCCACAAATATAAATGTATTTAGTATGAAATTTTGAAGAAATATATTTATTAATACGAAAACAAGTTTAATAAATAAATGAAATAGATATCTACTAAAATTATTTATGTTTAATTATAACTGAAAATTTGAATTAAATACACTGAATATAAATTTGTTACCAGTGTTAGCCGCAATTTATACTGTGCCTTAAAATGATCGTCAACTATGCCAAATATCATACATGTTAAATATGTAATACATGTATCATTTAGTCGACTTTATATTATATGTATCGAATAGTTTACTTTTTAATATAAATATTATATAGTTTTATTTTCATCACTTATATTATTTTCATTATATGTACTTATTGAAAGGTATAGTATAGTATTAGTTAGCAATTTTGTATAAATAGACCTGTAAGTTGACCTTGAATCAACAGAGTTTTGCTCAGGGATTGAGATAAGTCTTAGGATTAAACTTATAACTCTACAGTTAATAAAGTTACTATTTTACACTTTCAACCTTCTTCTTGTCTTCATCATAGGATTGATCATGATAACCTACTA